GGGGAGCTTCCTTCCAGGTGCTGGGACCAGCTGAGCTTCTCTGCCCTAGGAGCCTGGGATGGAGGCGGGGAGCTTCCTTCTGGGTGCTGGGACCAGCTGAGCTTCACTGCCCTAGGAGCCTGGGATGGAGGCGGGGAGCTTCCTTCTGGGTGCTGGGACCGGCTCAGCTTCACTGCCCTAGGAGCCTGGGATGGAGGCGGGGGAGCTTCATTCTAGGTGCTGGGACCGGCTGAGCTTCACTGCCCACTAGGTTTTAATTTCATCTTATCTTAGCAATGATTGATATTAATGCCATGATACATTTGGAAGATGCTTTATAGTTAACAAATTGCTGGTACTGTACATATATTAAGATAGAGGATAACCAATAGGTTTCATCTCAGGGCCAATTGCAACTGATGGATGGTGGCTGCCCACCGAGCTCTGTTGAGACAGATTGTGAATCCACATCTGGACTCAATGGGAGGGTAATAATAGGCTAGAGAGGGGTGTCAAGGGTAGGGTTGTGGAGTGATACCCTGATTTGCCTTTTGCCTCTCTCAGTGCTCCTTTTTCATCACCCTTCACTTATCCCTTCTATCTTGATGCTTTCCAGAACCACCCCCGCTTCACTAGCTTTTGGTCTGTACTCATGCCACAACAGTCACTGACTGATTTCATCCCCAGCCCTGCTGATGATCCCTTCCCAGACGCATTCAGCTAAGTGCCACCCCTCCCCTTCATGCCACCTGCACACACATAACATTCATCTCTAAGCATTCCAACTATTGTTTACCCATCTGTCTCTGCTATTAGACTGTGAGCTCTGAAAGGACAAGGTTAGATCTTATTGATCACTGCATACCCTGATTCTGGCATATAGTAAGCAATCAATAAATGTTTGCTAAATGAAAGAATGATTTAATGAATGGTGTCCTTACTTTGCAGAAAAAGAAACATACTCAGAAGTTGGGATTTCTCACAAAGGTATCCATTCTCCAGAGCTTTCCTATCTTTCCTCTAGAACAGAAATTGAAAAATATTTTCTCTAAAGGACAAAGTATAGTTTGGCTGTGGTTTGCCCCCCTCCCCCCAGAGTTCATGTGGGAATCTTGGTCCCCAGTGTGGTGGTATTAGAAGTGGTGGGGACCTGAAAGAGATGATGGCTAGGAGGAGGTTGTTAGGCCACTGGGGAAGGGATTAGATAGTTCCCATGGGACCCTGACTTCGGTTTCCTGCTTTGCAGGTGATCGATCCCTCTCACATGCTCTTTCCCTGTGACACTCTGCAGCCAGGGGAGCCCCTGGCCAAAACCAGGGCTGTGCTGTTTAGATTGTCAGCCTCCAAAACTGTGATCTAAACACATTTTTCTTTATATGTACCCCACTTAGGCATTTTATTATCATCATAATAGAAGACAAACATAGGTCAGATAGTAAACATTTTCAGTTTTGCAGGCCAGTCAACTCTGATGTTACTGGAAAGAAGGTATAGATGATATGAAAACAAAAGGACATAAATATATTACAGTAAAACTTGACTACAAAATTAGGCAGCAGTTTGTGGGCTTTTGGTGTAGAAGATGGTAAACAGACACCCCTACATGTCCAGTTTCTTCATTGAGCAACCTTTCTGCCTCAAGCCAAATCTCAGGGTTCTAATTCCATTCTTTCCACAAGTGTCTGTTGGAGTTAAATCCATAATCTCTTCAAAGTACCAAACCTCTCTTCATAGTACCAAACCAAGGAAATTAGGAAGGCTCAAAAAGAACTGGCTTCTGCAATGAGATGAGAAGGAATAAGAAATTTATTGACAATAGATCTTAAAAGACATAGAGAAATCAAAGTCCAATTTATCCACACCCTCTTTGATCACTCATTTTGAACACTCGTAACATGAAGAAGAAAAAAACAGGTCCATTTCCTCGGTGTGATGGATAGAGAAGAAAGTAGAATAAATATCTCCTTGCCATTCCCCTTACCTCCTTCTGTATCTCCAAAAGACTACTCTTTTTTCCTTCACAGGGAACATTTCAAACTTCTTCCACTCTTCTCATATTCCTGCCCCATCGTCCTTTCACTTGTCAGGAGATGACCTCACCTCCTACTTCCAAAAGGAAACAGAAGCCATCAAGAGAATTCTGAATTCTGCCACATACCACAAACCTATCTACATCTCTGTTCATTTTCTTATTCTTTCTGTCATAATGGAGTAGGTCAAAGATTCTAGTTCTTTCTGGGTCCTAGCTTTTTCTCTCTTTGCAGGAAACCTGATTTATCAACTATCACTCATTGTTGTATACTCTCTCTCTCTCTCTCTCTCTCCCTTCCTCCTCCTCTTCTTCCTTCTCCTCCTTCCCCTCCTTCTGCCCACTTCATTCTCTCCTGTAAACTTTTCACAGACATGCATGCCTCTACCATCCTAGAAACTATTCTGTTGAACCTGGATGTCCTTTTAATTGTTAACTTATCTTCCCTTACCTCTTTTGTAGCCAAAGCTCTTGAAAGGGTTATGTTCTTATATCCCCCCTTCATCATTTCCCAGTAATTCCTCAACTTATGACAAACTTGTTTCTTTTCCATTGTATCCCTGAAACTGTCTCATTGAAGACTTTGAATAACCTCCTGTTACTACATACGATTTAGAAGTCTTTGCTCTTTACCGAATTTCTGGTTCTGTTCAACCCTCTGATCATTCTCCTTGAAACATTCTCTTCCTGCAGCTTTGGTGACAGTGAGATCTGGTTTTCCTCCTATGGGGTCATTCTTCCTTAGGCTCCAATACCTCAGCCTATTTATTAAAGTATCGGTGTCCTCCAAGTTCTCTGCCAAGCTATCTGCTCTACTAGTCTACTCTCCTGGGATAGTTCATCTAATCTCGTGGCAGTCTAGATTCCCAAATTTACTTTTCCAGCCCAGAATTCACTACTGAGCTAGAGCCAGCTGGCCAATTGCCGATATAAATTAACTCTCTTCTCCTTTACTCACCATAGGCAGTCCAATCTTTAAAGAGAAATTATCTTGACTCTAGCCAGCTACCACCCCACTTCATCGCCTGCTTGCAATAAAACTTCCTGGAAATTTTCTCTACACTTGCTGTTGTGATTCCTTTCCAATTGTCTCTCATAAACTCCCTCCAATCAGGCTTTTAACTCTATGACTCCACTGAAAGAGGACTTGGCAAAGTTACTCATGGCTTCTTTATTGCTAATGGTAGGGAAGATCATAAGGATTCATCTCATTTTGACACAGCTGATCTTTTACTCCTTCCAGATACCAGCCCTTCACTGGATTCGCAGATACTACCTTCTCCTGGTTTTCCTCCTTCCTCGCTGACTTTTTACCTGAGTCTTCTTCCCTCATTTTTTCTTTTCTTCCTGATTTATTACTCTCAAGGTAAACCAGGGCTCATTCCTTGGCTGTGTCCTCTACACTCACTCCATGAGTGATCCCATCCAGAATGAAAGCTGGATGTCATCTATACAACTCTGACCCCCCAATGTATACCTAACTTCTAGTCTCTTATATCCAACTGCCTACTCAATATCTTCACTAGGTTGCTGTCTTGGTACATTCGGCACTGCTAGAGCAGAATACTTGAGACTAGATAATTTATAAAGAATAGAGGTTTAATTTAAAGTATGATTCTGGAGGCTGGGAAATCCAAGAACATGGCACTGGCACTGGCTTGGCTTCTGTTGAGGGCTTTGTACTCCTTTAGCTCATAGCAGAAAGCAGATGGGCAAGTGGGGGCATGTGATACAAAGAATATGGGCTCATTAACATGTACAATTAATGTATATCAATAGAAAAAATTTTAAATGCAACATATTTTCCTTATTCTCAAAGGACGTTTATGCTGTCTTTCCCTCATAATTTTGTAGAAGTTGTTCTATGATCACCTTGGAAGGATTGTTGCTTTAGTCCTTCTTTCCTTGACCTCTTTATTCATCTTTTAGTGTGTTGAATTTCATTATGGAAGTATTTTGTTTTTGTTTTGTTTTGCTTTTGGTCCCTAACTCACTGAATTCATGTCCTTGTGAATTTCCTCTGTAGCTTGAAGCAATTGAGAGGAACTCTTCCTAGGTTCCTTGGGTTATTTTTTTCTTGTGTTCTTTCATTTCTTTTATACCTCTATGTTCGCTTAAATCTTCTCGTTTTTTTATTCTCCTGCAGATGCTTGCTTAGTTACCATGTTGCTTCTTTTCATCATGCTCATGCTTCAACTGGACAGCTCTACCCAGTTCTTCCTTTTGCTGTGGCAGAAAGAAGGTGAATTCTTACTGACACCTTTCCAACCTTATTGAGGATTTTTATTCCATTCCAGATACATTTTGAGGCCTGGGAGTTACAACTTGCCCCCCCCTTTTTTTAATTGTCTGAAGACTATAAACTTGAACCAATCTTAGCAAACTCCCTGAAGCCTCTGTCTTCTAAGGGTTTGCTAATGTTCTTTTTTCTGGGATGGATGGGTGGGTGGGGAGGGGAGTTCTTCAGGCTTTAAATCAGTCCCAAGAATCAGCATGAGATCCTGATAAATGGTGACACATGGCAGATTTTCCTGGCTCAACAGTGATATTGAAATCATACACGTTCTTGGAGAGATTTCCCTGATTTTTCACTAAATTCTGTATTCTCAATTTTGTCCTCTTCTATCCAAATCAAGGAGTATTCATTTGTAAGAATTCTCAGGGTTTTGTGACTCATTTCCTTCCCTTCTATCACTTTTGGGGAAAGAGGTGATAAAGGAGCTTCAGTAAGTCACACTAAAATCTTCTGCTTTTCCTCTTGAATACCTTTCAGTTTATAGAATGAGGACAACTTCTTTCTTTGTTTGGTTATCAGTAAGTTCGTCATCTCATTTATTTCACTGAAGATTGGGGAGGGCAGTTCTGGAAGCGAATATATGAAGTACTTTCAGTTAACACTGGATTGCATACCTGATGGTGGTCATGTAGATTATATTACCTGGTAATGTCATAGCCGGCCTACTTTGTGTAAGTACATTCTATAATGTTCACACAATGATGAAATTGCCTAACTAGACATTCCTCAGAATGTCATCATTGTTAAATGACATGTGAATATATATATCATATACATTTATATATTAATATATATATATATATGTATATATGGAGAGAAAAAGAGACAGACAGACAAAAAGAGAAAGGAACCTGGGAAACTAGCAATTTTTCCCCAGCCTCCTCAGACCTATCAGAGGGTGAGGGCAATCAATCTTCTGACTGCCTAGAACAGGCACAGTGAGGCTTAAAGAAAGAAAGACATGGAGACTTGTGTAATTTCAAAGCATACAGGGGACCAGGAGAACAGTGCCTCAGAGTGGGCAGAGAGAAAGATACTCCAAGCTTGCCATTATTTATTAGATACACACAATAATTGGAGGGAGTATCAAGTGACTTAGGGGGCAGCGATAATCCTTTTGTTGATGAGGGTCTTATATTGATGAAGGTGGTAAGGACAGTGTTCTTACAATAGTAGGTGGAACCAGATAGCAAGCTAATAAAGAAGTTGTCCTCCCTCCAGATGAAATCTTTCTCTTTTTTTATTACTACTTGGTTCTCAAAGAACCAGGATGTCTTCAGCTGATGTTCTGTTGCTCTTGAGCATCACAGTATCATGGGACCATTGAGGCTTCAACTTGTGACCAGAGGGAAAACAGAGTTATGTTTCTGCATGCCATGGCTGGCTCTTGGGCAAGGTGACATTGTGCCTTAAACAGCTATAGTCATATTTTAATTATGAAATGATTATTCCCCCAAAATTTATGTAGGATGGCTTTTGACAAGACCAGATCAGGGTAAGGGAGAAGATGAAGTGTGGTGACCTCAGCAGACTCCAGATGACCTCAGCTTCACAGTGACCCTGCTCAGTGAGCCTGGGATTTCATGGAAAACATATCTGGCCACCATAGTTCTCGTTTACTCTTTCTGCTGCCCTTTGTTTTCTCAGCAAGGGGTAGCATCACCCTGGACACAGAAAGGGCTTTGGTTGTGCATGCCTTTAGGAGAGTAAACATGGGCAGCCTGGAAGCTGTTCCCCACTCAGCAGCCAGGCACTGGAAGGAAGCAGCTCAGTGGGCAGGTAGGCTGAGGCCCTGGGGCCTGTAATCAGGGCACAGCAATGGTAGGTAGGAAATCCAGGCCTGAGCAGTAGCCTTGGGATGAGAGGGGGAAAGATGGAGGTAGGGTGGGGTAGAAGATCTGCATCTCTAACATCTCCCACTGCCACTCAGATCCACAGCTTCCAGTGGGAGAAAACAGCATCCGAGGAGGAATAAAAACAGTCACTGAGCGTTGTGCTTGGAATTAATACACAAAACCCATCAAACCCTTGACATCACGGGCTTTGGCCTTGGAAGGCAGAAACCTTTTAAGTGTCAATGATTATTCCTGTGTGCTGCATCTCCAGGCTCTGTCTCCATGATAGATGGCCACCTGCATCGTGCCCTGGCATTTCCATACACAAAATAATTGGCTACAGAAGGTTGCCGGATGCCTTTCTGTGGAAGGAAACTTCAAAAACAAATTCCATTCCATAAACTCAAATATTTTTTGATATTTGAATTTATGAGAGCACTGGTTCTGTTTTTATTGGCCTTCTCCAGGATATGAAAATGTTCTTTACTATATGATCACAATGAGTAAAATGAAACGTTTTCTGCATTTTGTAAGTAGCCATTTACTTCAAGGAGATGTTTCAATATTTTATGTCCCTTTCTATATCATTGCTGTAATGGCCATGGAACTCTCCAGACTTCTTTGAAGAAGAAACTGAGGCACCACTGACCCTTGTAGACAGGGTTAGCAGAGATATGAAGGCTCAGTCACAATAGCTAAACTTTACTGATATTGTTAATATTAATTAGTCGTAATTAATATTGGTTAATTGGTGCATTTATTAATTTTATATAGCTAAACTAAGTGCAGGTCCTGGGCTTGTATGCTCTCATTTAGTCCTCACACCAATTGCATTATTATTGTTATTTCTATTTTGCAGAAGAGAATGTAGCTTGCACTAAACCTCGCAGCTAGCACATGACAAAGTAAGGACAAGACACAGGCTCTGCCTTCGAGCCTCTCTAATCGTGAGTTGCCTGTTAGTTATCCAGAGCTGCTGCTAACTGTCCAAAATTCAGTCGCTTGGGAATGGGATTCTGGAAAG